TTTTTTCACTTCTCGATTTATGCGTGTCATCCATTCGCAGGGGCCATGCTAATCTTCATTCTCTGTATCGTTCCAATTTTAACGGATGTCCCGAAGGACAATTCTTCGATATTCGTTTTTTGAATGTAGTGTACAGTGCCACGTGTCCCTCGCGTTTGCTTCGCTTTCACTGTCAATTCACTTGTCAATTGATGTGCATTGCCGGGTCCTTCTGGTTGGACCAGATCCAAAGCACTTATCCAGGTGCAAGCTCAGCCCCAATGGGATCAGGTGCCAGCTCAACTCCATTGGGATCCAGATGCCAGCTCAGCCCCATTGGGAAACAGATGCCAGCTCAGCCCCATTGGGATCCAGATGCCAGCTCAGCCCCATTGGGTAAAGTTGGGAGCACAAAGCTGGACCGGTCGGTACGGTGCAGTTGCGTTGCTCTCGACGGGATTCAGTTTGCAGCGCATCCTCTTCGTCCATCGCGCAGAGAGCTCTCCCTCTCCCGGACGTAAAGGGTCAGGCAGAGCTCCTCCTTCAGGCTCCTTGTCCTCGTCATCATCTACTTCCTCTTCCTCACATCCTGCTCCTCCCCCTCCTCCTCCTTGTCTTCTCCTTTCCTTCTTGCTCCTTTTTGGGCAAAGTGATTTGATTGAACTTCCTCGCGGCGAAACCTTTGTATTTATTTCCCCCCCAAAAGGGCCAAAAAGTGCTAAGGGCCCCAAAAAAAGACTTTTGGCGTCATGTTTGCACCCCTGTAAAACACTTTCCGGCCATTTTTGCACAGAGGCCTTACCGGGGGCCATTTTCGCACAGAATTAAAAACAAAAAAAGAAAAAAAGCAATCTTTTTAAATTTCCCATTACACATTTGAAATTTCCCACTACAAATTTGAAATTTCTTAGTTCCAGGCCAAGTCCCCCTAGCGGCGTTGAGCTACCTCAACGCCTGAATCTGGACGTGTTTGTGGAGACGTGCATTGTAGGAAACTCAACACCATTTCTAAACACCTCAGCAAAAGCGTCCAGATTCAAGGGTTGAGGTAGCTCAACGCTGCTAGTAGGACGTGGGCACGGGGGCATGGTCCCACTTGCGCAAATCAGGAGATTTCGGCCGTTGATCTTTGCTATCTACGGTCAGTATCTCTTAATACGTGCAAGTGGGACCTAGCCCCGGGCCAGCCTGGGTGGCTGAACAAATGACAGGTACACCCACCCGTGAACTGTCGACATACGGAGCGGAGGTCGAATCCAGGTCCAACCAGATGACCGAATATCCTGCATTTAATTTACCTGCGCCAGTCAGTTTCACGATTTTTTTTATTTTTTTTTTTATAGTTTCATGATTTTATATATAGATGTATTTTTTAAAGGCGAATTCTTAAAAAAAAAAAAGAGGCTAATTCTTTAAGCCCAACCAATTCAATTACCTGTCAAATCTGGACAGGCCTTTTTTATTGTCATTATAGTATTACGGGGTTGGAGGCTTGAGCACGGATGAGGCGAATTCTTTTAAGCCCAACGACCTCAATTATATATTTTTAAAAGGCGAATTCTTTGTATTTATTTTTTTAAAGCCCAACGAATTCCAATTACCTGTGGAATCTGGACCGGACGGCCTTTCAGTTTCAGGCGTGTTTTATTGTCATTATAGTATAGTATTACGGGGGCGAGGTCCCACTTGCAAAGAGGATTGGATTGAACACCTGAATCTGGACTTGTTTGTGGATAGGTGCAGATTGTCGAGATTGAACTGCTTTTCCGCATATCTGCTTAAAACACATCCAGATTCAGGATATTTATCCAACCCTCTTTGCGACTGTCTTGCCCCGAATACAACGTATAAAAAAAAAAAAAAAAATAGAATGACCGTATACGTTGTATTCGGGGAAAGACTGTGGTGGGACCTCACCCCGGGGAACCCCCCGCAGGAGCCACATCCGTGCTCAAGCGTCCAACGAGGGAACATGCGGCCGTCGCGCTTCCAAGATACTAGGAAAAAAAAAAAAAACCAGCTTGAGAGTGAAATTGAGGAAAAAACAAACAAACTAACTCCCTGCGTTGCAGGTGATCGAATGGAAGAAGAACGGAAGTGGAACCGGCGGGACTGCAACTGCAAGTAAGAATGGGTCGGGGGGCGGCAAGAAAGGGCGAGAGAGAGGAGGAGAGAAGCATCGTAAAGAGCGGCATTCCTCCGGTTTCTTCTCCTTCTTCAGCAAGAAAAAACGGAAAAAGGCAGCTACACATGCTCTGGAGCAGGCTATCAAACAGAAGGACCCGGAGAAACTAGAGGGTGCCCTGGAGGATGCGCACTTGCTTGGTGTGGACAGTGCACGGATCAAAGAAGGACAAGATCTGCTGCTGTTCTTGCGGAGCTCCGTCGACTCCGCCACGCCGGTAGTGAAGGAGGTGGTGCAGGTGGAAGGAGTGTCGGCAGAGGAGTGTTCTACGACCAAGATGGACATGGAGGATGAGGACGACATGAGCACGAAGGAGGAGGGAGAAGGTGGACATGGAGGAGGTAAAGCAGGGAAGGCGGACCTTGGACAGGGGAGGCAGAGGGACGAGGAGGATGGTAGCGAGGTAGTCGACATCGGAGGGTGGCAAGAGAAGGTGCAGAACGGAGCCAGAGTGATGGATGAGAGCAAGAATTCCGAAGGACTTGTGTCTGACAACGGCACAGGGAGGAGGTCAGGCCAATCTGCATGGCAACATGCAAGCACTCGTGCGGGCAAATCGGGAGCTTCAGCTGGAGCAACAGCTGCACAGGCACCTGCTGCAGACGAAGGGGGAGGAGGAGGAGGAGGAGGAGGAGGAGGAGGACGGACGCTTGTAAGATTGAGCAGCGGACATCTAGTTAGCAGCTCGGGGGAGTTGAAGAAGGTGGGGGAGGGAGAGACGCCAAGGAGGAGGAAATGTGGCACGCCGCTCGGGCTCAAAGTCGACACGTCATCCTTGGGTGAGGCTGTGACGTACTCCACGCCGCCTCTGCTTACCCCTGCATCGGATGTTGATGTGCAATGGGAGGATTGTGTGGCAGCCTTCACCCCAAGCCCGTGTCCCACACCAAAAGAGCGGGAAGGTGCCAAGGAACGAGACCCCATCGGGGGGTCTAGCAGGAAAAAACAACCCCCTTCCCGACTTCCACGGCCCGGCAGACCCTCGCCTGTACGTGTCGGTAGGGAGGGGATGGCAGTCGACGACTCGCCGACGTCTGACACGGCTGGTCGAAGCAGGACTCCCAGGGGCTCCGAGGAGCAGAGGAAGGAATTGGAGAAGAAGAGGTTGATGACACCAAGAAAGAGCGAATCTTCGGAGAACGATCTGAAAGAACTTCAACGAAGGATCGAGGCAGCGGAGAGGGCAAGGATGTCGGACGCGGGCACACAGCTCCTTGCTAGGGTGAGAGAGGAGAGGAGGGTGTCCATCGAACTGAGCGATGCGATGAAGGCACGTGACGTGGCGCGACTGGAAAAGGCTCTGGCGGATGCAGAGAGCATCTCTTCGTCGGGACCTAAGGTGCAGGAAGCGGAGCTCCTGCTTGCGAGACTGAAAAAAGACGAGCAGGAAGGCAAAAAGATAGGAGGGACAGAGAAGATGGGCCAATGGAGGAGCCATAAGGAGGGGTTGGAAACGGCGCTGAGAGAGGCACAGAAGTTGGGTTCACGAAAGGAGAGGTGGGTGCAGCAAGTAAAAGAGGTGCTTGGAGTTGAAGGCGAGCAGAGAGCTATGAGTGAAAGTCATGGAGAATGGCTGGGGGGTGGAGGCAAAGGAGGAGGAGAAGGGGAGAGAGAGAGAGGCTCTCGAAACTCGCGACGAGATGCTGATGAGGACGACGAAGATGAAGTGACATCCAAGCCAACAACGGCGTGGTCGTTCACCGGGAGCGGACAAGGCAAACCACCTCTGCAGGGCGGAGGAGAAGAGCCCATCACCCAGAAGCGAGAAAGTCCTCGAGCAAGGGGGCCGAAATACAAGCAAGCATCACAGTCTGGGGGGGGTTTGTCCGACGTGGCTGGCACGTCAGGCCCATCGTTTGCCGAGTCTGGGACAGGAGTATCCCCTCGCCGACAGGGCAGAGGAGGTAGCGGCGTCGGGGACCCTGCAGCTGGGTCCGCGGGGGGTAGGTCTGCCTCCTGGACGGCAGGCCCGGTTACAGAGGGCGGAGCAGCAGGAGGGGCATTGAGAGGGAGAGGACGAGGAGGGCGGAAGGGGAGGGGGTCACAGCGAAGGCCGTCGAGCTCGCCAGATCGTGGCAGGGCGAAAATGGAGGAGGCACCGTCCTCCCCTGCCGGCGGAAGGAGGGTGGTATGGCTGGGAGTGGGTGGGCCGAGAGATAGAGGAAAGCGGAAGGTGCAGGTGATGGAGGAAGCTGCTGCAGCAACTCAGGGTGCTGAGGAGGTGGAGGAGTGGGGGGAGGTTGGCGAGGAGGGGAAGATCGTTCAGGGCACATTCTCACCGGTTGTTGAGAGAGATGATGATGATGATGATGAGGAGGAGGAGGAGGAGGGGGAGGGTTCAGAAGCGGGAGAACGAGCAGGACAGGCAGGAGAACGACATGGAAAGCGGAGGAAAGACGTGGGGGACAGGGCAGAGAGGTTGTCGCAGTCTGGAGATTCCCCCCCTTCTGTCGAGGCCATGGACGTCGACTCCGCTCAACCTGACCATTCAAATCTGGGATGGCCGCTGCGGTTCTTGCAGCAGGCGATGGCAGAGCGCAACCTGCAGTCGCTGGAGCTAGGCCTGGCCGAGGCGGAGCGACGCGGGCAAGATGAGAACGACGTGTGCCACGCTGCCAGAGCCATGATCGTCAGACTCCGAAAGGAGAGAGAGCTGCGGCTGATGCTGGAGGCAGCCCTGGTGAGCGGAGAGGTGGAGCGACTTGAGCAAGCTGTGAAAGCCGCAGAGGAAGCCGGACTCGAAAGCCATGCCGTCAACGACTCCAGGCAGCGTCTCCACGTGTGGAGAGAGGACAAGAAGCTCAACATGCGGTTGGAAGAGGCGGTCAAGGAGGGTCGCCTGTCCGCCCTCGAGGAGGCGGTCTCTGCAGCCAAGAGCCGCAGGATGGACGGCCATATGCTGCAGGAGGCTGAGGCTGCGCTGAGCAAGATGCGCAAGGAGCGGGCCGACATGCTGGCCTTGATTGACAAAGGACTTGCGGAGAGCGATCGAGCTGCCTTGGCCCGCGCCATGTCCATCGCCAGGCAACTGGGTCTGGAGAGCCTGCCGCGGGTACAAGAGGCAATGAAGAAGAAAGAGAGGGTGGAGAAGCAGGAGGAGACGTCAGTCCAGGTCAGACGAGCTATGCAGAATCGGGATCTGACGGCGCTGAGGCTGGCGCTGCGGAGCTGCACCGAGCTGGGGCTCGAAGGGTCGGAGATCGCAGAGTGGAGGAGGGTGCTCAGCGGGTTGGAGAGGGAGAAGGAGGCGGCGGACAACCTCGCGGACGCCGCCAAGGGAGGGGATGTCGAGAGGTTAGTCTCCGCGATCCAGCAGGCGGAGCGCGCGGGTGTGGCGCGAGAAAGGTTGGATGTGGCCTTTGCCATACTAGCGGAGCTGAAGAAAGGAAGGACGAAAGCGGAGGCTGCTAGGAACGACCTGCAGCTGGCCACAGCCGCACGGGACATCGCTAAGCTGGAAGCAGCTCTGGTGCTGGCGAGGGAAGTGCACCTGGAGGCCGCGCGGATCTCCGAGGGAGAGAGTTTGTTACAGATACTGCGAAGGGAGGAGGAGGTACGGATCGTCATCAGAGGGGCAATCCAACGGAGGAGCTTGGCCGAGCTCGAGAAGGCGGTCTCGGCGGCCGAGGCTTTCGCTCTCAAAGACGGCCTCGTCGACGCTGCAAGGAGGGAGCTGAAACGAGCCCGCGACGAGGCGGAGGTGAAGATGATGCTCGCAAATGCCATGGCGATGGAAGATATTCGTGAGCTGAAACTGGCCGTCGCACAGGCGGAGAAGTCCAGCCTGACGGGACCGACGATCGACGACGGAAGGAGGATGCTGAAGGACCTTGTGGAAGAGGTTGAGAGCACGGTGAGGAAGGCTATGGAGGAGGACGGCAGGCTGGAGGCGATAGAGGCGGCCCTGAATGCGGCGGAGGGTAAGGGAGTTGACTCAGGCGCGGTTGTGGTGGAGGCCACGAAACGGCTGAGCAAGGCCAGGGACGAGCGGTGGGTTCTCGAGACGGTGAAGGAACTGCTCACCCAGGAGGAGGAGGTGGTGAAGGTTCACGTGATCGAGGAGGCACTGGCGGCAGCGGAGCGGCTGGGCATCCGAGGTCAGGGGATCGACTCCCTGTCCAAGACGTTGGCCAGGGTCAAAGGCAAGAAGGAAGTGCTGGCGGACCTCAGAAAAGGTCTTGTAGACAGGGATCTCCACCTGCTGGACTCGGCAATGTTTCGAGCGGACGGTTTGGGAATGCAAGGTGGAGAGGTGGCCGTGGCGCGAACGCTCGTCGAGAAGAGCAGGGAGAAGAGGGGACTCATACGGAGACTGAGGATGAGCATCGACTCGCAGGATCTCGAGAGACTAGACGAAGTCCTTGCCGGGGCGCGAAAGAAGCTATGGGAGTGGATACATCAGGAGGACCAGGCTAGCGAGCTGGAAGCCGGGATGCTCGGCGACCTGCTGCAGGAGGCGGGCGATGTCGCCCACAGATTGAGAGAGAGGAAGAAGATCTGTGCAAGGATCAGGGAGATGACCGCAAGCGGTGCGTCGAAGAGAGATGTTGCTGCGCTGCAGGAGGCCATCGCGGAGCTGGACAAGGTGGGAGGGGAGGAGGAGGCCGCCTACGCGGAGGGGAAGATACTGATCGAGAGATGGAGGAGGGAACGGGAGGTGTTGGACAAGGTCAGGAGGGCGATGGATAGCTCCGACACATGGGAGCTGGCTTCTGCCGTGCGCGAGGCCGACCTGATCGGCCTTGAGGGAGAGGAGGTGGTCAAGAGAGGCAGGTCGTGCCTCGATGGCCTGAAGAAGAAGGGGGACGTCAAGGTGAAGCTCCGCCTGGCCACCGCGCTGAGGGAGTCCAAAGCTCTTCAGGCAGCCGTGGCTATGGCGGAGGGCATGGATCTCGCCGACTGCAAGGAGGTGATCAAAGCGAAGGAGGTCCTGGCGAGGCTGGAGGAAGAGAGAGGGGTGGTCGAGTCGATGAAATCGGCCATGGAGTGCGGGGATCTCGAGTCGCTGGAAGCCAACTGGGAGAGGGCTCGACAGCTCAACATCGAAGATCCGACGGTGCAGGAAGCGAGAAACACGTTGGAAAAGAAATGGGCTCTGCGAGCCGCCGAATGGCAGCTCATGGATGCGATGGAGAAGCGGGACCTGAGGGCGCTGGGAGCGGCGCTGGCCGTGGCGACGAGCCAGGGCATGGACTCCAAGCTACTGGCGGAGGCTCAGAGCATGGCGCAGCGACTCGGCGCTGAGAAGGAAATCAAGACGGAGATCATGAGAGGCGTGGAGGAGGAGAGGTGGGAGGATGTGGCCAAGGCCGTGCAGAAGGCCGACGGCCTCGATTGGGAGGACGAGGACGTGAAGGCGGCTCGAAAGCTGGTGGAAGAGGTGCGATTGAGAAACGAGGTGCTGGTGAAGATGAAAGACGCAGCGGAGAGGCGCAACCTTAACGACCTAACCGTGGCCCTGGAAATGGCCAGACGACTCGGGGTGGAGGAGGAGGAGATGGAGGGGGTGAGGAGTGTCCTCGGCGAGCTGTACGAGCAGGACAGCGTGGTTAAAGAGATCGCGACGGCGGTCGAGAGGAGGGACTTGCCGCGCCTCGAGACCGCTATGAAGACTATGGAGTCGGTCAAGGGTATGGAGACGAATGCTGTAGTGAGACAGGGGCTTGCCGTTCTCAAGCAGCTGAAGGAGGAGCAGTCGCTGTTGGAGGAGATAAGGGAGGCGATCGAGATCCGGAGCCTGCGGCGACTGGACGCCGCCGTGAAGAGGGTGGAGGAGCTGAAGGGCTTCGCGAACAATCTGACGGTGGTAGAAGCGAAGAAGGTGATCGGACAGCTGAGAGTGGAGAAGTCGGCGATGGACAAAGTGAGGGAGGCGCTGGACAGGAAGGACGTGAGGAGGCTGGGAGAGGCCGTGAGGGAGGTGGAGTGGCTGGTGGACAGGCGGGAGTGGGATCCCGTCGTGGAGAGAGGGAGGCTAGCGTATCAGGACGTCGTGAAGATCTGGTCGGAGGTGGAGTCGGCAATGAGGAACAGAGATGTGGATCGGCTCAGAAAGTCGTTGGAAAGATGGGACCGCGGTCCTTACGGGGACTGGCAGGACAGGCGGGTGGAGGAGGGGAGGGAGGTGTTGGGGAAACTGGAGATCACGGAGATGATGCTGGAAAGGGGCCTGTGGAGCAGAGACATAGAGGCTCTGCGGAAGGGACTGGAGATGGCGGCGGAGATGCGACTGCGGAACCACAAGGTGCGGCGGGCGGAGTCGGTCCTGTCCAAGCTCAGGGCGTGGAGGGCCGCGGCAGTGATTGCACGACACGGCTCCGCCACCCGAGCCATCGAAGTGCTGGAGACGGGGCTGAGGTTGGGAGATGCGACGGGACTGGACGTCAGGGAGGTTGCCAGAGAGCGGCAGGAACTCGAGAGGTTGAAGCTGGAAAGAGACATGGTCACGGCCATCCTGAACGCCATGGAAGCGGGGGACATGGACTGTCTGGAGAGGGTGGTGAAGATGGCGGAAGAGATGGAGCTGGAGGCGAGGGAGGCGAGGGAAGCGAAGCAGCTGCTCGAGGTCGCGAGAGCCAAGGGCTCCGCCTTGCTCGCGCTGAGAGACGCGCTCGCGGAGGGAGACGTCGAGCGCATCCAGGCAGCTATCGAAGAGGCCGAGCTGATGAACATCGAGGACGAGATGGTTCTCTACGCCAAGGTGATGGTGGTGCAGCTGACGGCAGAAGCCCACGCCATCGCTCTAATGGAAGAGGGCATCGGAGCCGAGGACGTACTAGCTTTGGAGGAAGGGTTGGGACTGGCAGAGAGGCTCGAGATGTCCGACCCTCGCGTCGAGGAGGCCAGACAGGTGCTGCGCAAGATCAGGCCCAAGTGGGAAGCGATGTTAAGGCTGCGCGAGGCCGTGGAGGCGCGCAACGAAGTTGCCCTGGAGGGCGCGCTGGGAGAGGCGGAGATACTCGGTGTGGAGATTCAGCGGATCCAGGACGCAACAGACTGTCTCAGACAGCTGAGGTTGGAGAAAGCCGCCCTGGCCAGGCTGAACATCGCCGTGCGGCTCAAGGATATCGACGAGGTGGCGGTCGCGGTGGAGGCTGCGGAACGACTACAGCTCGGTGGACACGTTCTGGAAGAAGGTCGCGCTCTGCTCGAGGAGATGGATAAGGAGGGGTACGTCATCTCTCGCCTCCGGCAAGGAATCGAACGCAAGGAGTCGCCGCTGTTGGAGTTCGGTCTGCGCATGGCAGAGAAGTATGGCATGTCCGGCGGCCTCGTGGACGAAGCCTTGAGGTCTCTCGCCGAGATGAGGGAGTGGAAGGAGACGCTGGAGGAGCTGCGAGGCGCCATGAGAGATCGGGACATCAACAGACTCGAGGCCCTCCTTGCTGCTGCCAGCGAGAAGGAAGCCGCAAGGAATGTCAACGGCCGAGGGTCGGGATCCGGGTTTGGCAGTTCGCTGACTTTCAACTACAGAACGGAGGTCGTCGGGGAGGCAGAGAGGATTTTGGAGCAGTTGGTGGCGGAGGAGAGGGTACGGGATGCGATATTTAACGAGCGCATTGGCGAGCTGGAGTTCGCTCTCGCTGCGGCAGAGAAAGTGGGCCTCGTAGGCGATCTGGTGGAGAGAGGTAGGTGCGTGTTGCAGCTTCGGAGGGCGATGGAGGCGAGAGACGTGCACACTCTCGGAGCAGCGATCGAGGCGGCGAGCCGCCTGGATCTCGGCAGAGAATACATGTCCGAGGGGAGGACGATACTCGATGAGCTGCGGGAGGAGCTCAGAGAGATGATGTCCATGACACCCGTCAGCTCCGTCGGCAGCCAAATGGAAGGCGTCAGTCCCAGCTTGAGGGCGGCTGCTGCCGCCGAGAGGGAAGCGGCTCGACAGAAGCTGCAGGCAGAAATGGGAGAGCTGCTCATGGATGAAGTCTCCCGCAACGTGGACTTGAAATCGATTGCCGCTGACCTTCGACTCGGTGCTGTGAATGACGCCGTTGCCACTGCGAACAACCCCAAGTGGAGAATCGTGAAGTACTGGAAGCTGCGATCGCCGGAGAACTTCGGCAGGAGCGTCAGAAGCAGTCGCCACGATGCATTTCGAGGTATGATGGTGTACTCCGACGAGTTCCTACCGACCTCGCTCCTGAAGCTGCCAAGGAAATTGGCAGAGACTGCCGTCATCTGCAACAAGAGATTGCTGCAGGTCTGCGGTGACAAACCTAGCAAAGCGCCCCCAGGCGTCACTGCAAGAGGACTGCTAGCAGCGGGCAATCAAACGCCGGAGCTAAGGGACGAAATCTACGTCCAGGTGTGCAGACATCTCACCGGAAACACCAACCGCAAGAGCGAGAGGCGAGGATGGGTCGTTTTCTGCCTTTGCGCGGACACGTTCGAACCGTCAGAGGAGATCCTCGTGTATCTCCTCAACTTCTGCGGACAACACTGGGACGACAAGAAGAACATGAAGATGTCAAGGCAAGCAGACTCCCTCGCCTCCTCCGAGCCACATTTTCTCTTGTTGCTGCTGCCCCGCTGCTGTTGTTGCCGTTCCTCCTCCTCCTCCTCCTCCTCCTCCTCCTCCTCCTCCTCCTCCCTC